CCCCCCCCCCCCCCAATGCCCCCCTCCTAGATGAGAAACAGGTATCAAAGATGAAACGTACCGTCACCGATCCCGAAGAAGAATGTGTTGTGGGGGATGGTGTAACAGCAGGGCTTTGTTCAAATATTCCTGCCATTCTCCAGACAAAACAGTCTCATATTAAACACTAGAACAAAAATAAATATGAATAAATCACTATTAGAATATAATTTATTAAAAACAACTAAGTTGGACAGTCTATTTAATTTAACCCAGCAAGGCTAGTTAACACTTTCCCCCTGGTGCAGGGGTGTAATATACAGAGGACGAAAAGTATGAAGAGCATATTCTGATTGAGTCATATTATTTTGTATAACTCGACATCTGTCGAATGACAGTGCTTAGTGCCAAAATTTCTGTTTATACACAATTATACTTTCACTTCAGAAATTTTGATATTTTTACTAACAAACTCATAACGTACTCAGTACTATTCTAAAATCGATTAAATATATCAGAAGCAAAAACAAATATAAATACGTCGTCTGTAAAACGTCAAAATATGCTAAGCACCTGTGGAATCAATCCGTAGGCACACATTTGAAATATTTTTATCAATTCGCAGACACGATATGGGAAATATTTGTAGCTCTTTATATATTGGCAATGTATATTGTACATAAGTATCAAATTTCGCTTTGTAAGCTTCTAATGTTCAATAATTGTTACTTATTTATGATCTTTCTTGCTATAAACAACCACTTGTTTGCTAAAGTTTGCTACTTTAACCCGTCTTCAAATATTCATTAAAAATCTGATAATTCTATCAACTTACCGGCGATAAAATCCATAAAATAGTACAATAGGTTAAACTTTACCCATCCATAGTGACTCTAACTAAAAAGAATATAAAATTTGGGTAATATTTCGAACTAAATTAGCTCGATAAAATTTGAACGACGCTTGTAAATAAAAATTAAAAATCATATGAGGACGAGACGAAGAAACGGGAAGTGCCCTGGCTTGTCAGTTTCCCCGAATTTTGGGGTATTTCCCGCGAGATACAGCAACCCAGGCAAACGTTTTTGTCAAAGCAGTTTATAATAGTTCCTTTATTCCTTTCTGTGTTTGGTATATTATACATGAGGAAAAAGAAAATAAAAAACTAAATGGTGAATCGTTGTAATTTTTATTAAATTTTATTTGAAACTAAAGCTCTTCAAACAGCTTACAGAGTATTAAAATCAGACTTAGAAAAGGCTAATTAAGATTACCGATTAAGTTACAGATTCATTTAGTTTCATTTACAATTTCGGTTACACAATTTAAATAATTATAGTTACTTCCCTAAAAGTAATTGTTACAATTAAACTTTACATTCCTACCGAAGCCGTTAACTACAAATTAATTAATAATTACTTTATTTCATAAATTAATCAATTATTAGTTGTAATTAATAATCTAAATCATTAGTAGTAATTAATATTGAAGAAGAAGTGATTAACAACATTTTACGTTAATTACATTCAGGGAAGCTTTTAACAAATAGACTGACTGTATAAGTCATTATGTTACGTATGAACAAGACAGATCACCACGATCTGGTAATTAACTTTTCATTAAATTGCTAAAAAACTAAAACCCTGGGCAAACTAGGAAACATTGTTGTGGAAACATTTGTGATTCTCGATGTTTCCTCAAATGTTTCCCTGTTTGCCCACCCGTGGAAACATTGTTGCGGAAACAAAATTTGCTTCCCGAGAAGCAAAAATGTTTCCTAGCAAATTCAGAAACATTTGATGTTTCCCTATGTTTCTCACTCATGTTTCCTAGTGTTTGCCCACTCTGGGAAACATGGCGAAACATTGGTAGGAAACAATGTTTCCGCAACAATATTTACTAGTTTGCCCAGGGCTTAAGACCTGTTTTGTACGTCGAATTTCGGTCGCATAATGAAGCTCAGGGACGCCGGAACTGGGGGGGCAGGGGGGGCGGCTGCCCCCCTTGCTTTTTGCTAGGGGGGGCAGGGGGGGCAGAAGTGCCCTTTTAGTTGTAAAATAATACGTGATAAATCACATTTCCAACGATGCTTTTTATAGGAAAATCACGAAATTGAGGTAATTTATAGTTTATATTTATAAAAATGTTGGAAAATTTTTGGAATTAGAAAAATATTTGGAAGAAATTGCGAAAACTTAAGATATCCGGAAAAATTTTTGGCTTCACGGAAAATTTTTGCATGTCCGGAAAAAATTTTTGACCCCTAAAATGGTACACTGACCGAAATTTTTTTGGCGACGTGGGAAGTCGTAACATTTCGGCAGTGAAAAAAAATTTTTCAGTAAAGGTGCCCTTGGTGTGCGTCCGCCCCCCTTTGCCCTATTGTCGTTCCGGCGTCCCTGATGAAGCTTAATGAGGTTCATCATGTCATTATCTATTGTCTTAATTGCATTCGACGAGACCAAAATTCGAGCAGCAGATGGTGGTCAACCAGCATTTATCAGAATGAGAAAATAACTTTTCATTTTGCGAAGATTGAGTGCAATTTGGAAAAAAAAATATGCACGAGTGAGTTTTTCAAAGACTTTCAAAATTGCACAAGTCCGAAAGACGAGTGCAATTTCAGTGAAGTCTTTGAAAAACTCAAGAGTGTATGTTTTTTCAAATTGCACGAGAAACCATACTATTATTTATTAATAATATACATGAAAAACTTATGCAGTCACGTGCGTAAGTCACATTTAGAAATTAAGAAATTAAGAAAATTAAGAAATTTGAAAAATAAAAAATTAAGAAAATGAAAAAAAAATTTAAATTAAGAAATTTGCACTGTATTTCATTTTTTGGCACTGTATTTCGAAAAAATCGTACTGCTCTTAGTCAATCAGAATTGAGAATTTTTTTCATGTATATTATTAGGGTGCAAATAAATAGAATTGAGTGATGCAGTCTTCATCAGCATTTCTGAAATTGACCATAATCTGCTGCGCTGTAACGCTTAAATCTGCTGCGCTGTAACACTGGAACCGCCCATAAGGCATCATTTTAATCAAAGCATTTTCATTTAATTTTTGCTGCTGCAAGGGTTAAGATAATCATAAGGATATTTACGCAGAAGATTTCGATGTATCACGGTGATAGCAGCGTCTTTTAAATCCTTCAAAAACCTTAAACAAAAGAAAACATTCGTTATTTATATACTGGATTGCTCTACCAGTTCTGAACTATTCTTCCAAGATCCAAGAAGTCTCTTAATGACCCAGTGTTACTACAGGAGGAAACCTAAACAAAACCAACTTTACTTTATACTGGATACCTCTACAAGTTCTAAACTGTTCTTCCTAGAGTTCCAGCAAGGATCATCTCTTATTGATCCATTGTTATTACAGGAAGAAACCTAAACCAAACTAACTTTGTTTATACTGGATAGCTCTATCAATTCTGAAGTGTTCTTCCCAGAGGTCCGGTAAAGATCATCTCTTATTGATCCAGTGTTACTACAGGAGGAAACCTAAACTAAACTAACTTTATTTATACTGGATAGCTCTATCAGTTCTAAACTGTTCTTCCTAGAGGTCCAGTAAGGATAATCTCTTATTAATCCAGTGCTATTATAGAAGAAAACCTAAACTAAACAAACTTTATTTATACTCAACAGCTGCCAACATCGTTCATACTTACAATTCACCGGATTTCAATGCAATTGGATCATACTGGAATTTGGCATTAAAGTCCGCCAGTCCGTTGGTCTTGCGATCCGTCATCAGTTTGGCATAAATTACGGACTGCAAGCATAGATCTTTAGTCGGAAGATGTCGTAACACGTCGTGCTTATCTCGCCAACGCTGGAGAACAAACAAAGAAATGAACAAACTAACAAAAAGACGAGTCCGTCAAGATGAACAATCAGTTCACGTTTTGATCAGGGCTAGTCATGTTTAGATAGATGAATTTGCGTGGTAAAGTTCATCATGGTGAATGATCTGTCTGTGTGTGTATAGATACGACATTTATAGACAAACTGTCAGGAACTATCAGGCAAGATTTGTTCCCAGAATTGGTATAGTAACGTTATTCTAACTGGTTCATTTGGATAGTTCGTCTCGTGTTTACGTTAAGACAGTTGATCTATCAGACAGATGATGCATCTCTAGGTATAAGCACGGCTTTGGACATCAGAACAAACACACATACCGTATCGCAAGGTGGTTCGCCAACCAGTAACGTGGGGTAGTTAGGAGAATATCCATATTCATCATACTGGGGCAAGTTCACTGCCGCATGGCCAGCGGTACACATAAATATGATTGATGTCAGAGTTTTAACAAGTTCATCAAATGATTCAAATTTTCCTTCACCCGGGATTCCCTAGAAAGATAAGAAAGTTTGACTCTATCAAACGCAGTTTCCTCTTGTAGTAACTTAGTGGACCTCTAGGAAGAACAGTTTAGAACTGATAGAGCTATCCAGTATAAATAAAGTTAGTTCAGTTTAGGTTTCCTCCTGTAGTAACACTGGATCAATAAGAGATGATCCTTACTGAACCTCTAGGAAGAACAGTTTAGAACTGATAGAGCTATCCAGTATAAATAAAGTTAGTTTAGTTTAGGTTTCCTCCTGTAGTAACACTGGATCAATAAGAGATGACCCTTACTGAACCTCTAGGAAGAACAGTTTAGAACTGATAGAGCTATCCAGTATAAATAAAGTTAGTTTAGTTTAGGTTTCCTCCTGTAGTAACACTGGATCAATAAGAGATGATCCTTACTGGACCTCTAGGAAGAACAGTTTAGAACTGATAGAGCTATCCAGTATAAATAAAGTTAGTTTAGTTTAGGTTTCCTCCTGTAGTAACACTGGATCAATAAGAGATGATCCTTACTGAACCTCTAGGAAGAACAGTTTAGAACCGATAGAGTTATCCAGTATAAATAAAGTTAGTTTAGTTTAGGTTTCCTCCTGTAGTAACACTGGATCAATAAGAGATGATCCTTACTGGACCTCTAGGAAGAACAGTTTAGAACTGATAAAGCTATCCAGTATGAATAAAGTTAGTTTAGTTTAGGTTTCCTCCTGTAGTAACACTGGATCAATAAGAGATGATCCTTACTTGATCTCTAGGAAGAACAGTTTAGAACTGATAAAGCTATCCAGTATGAATAAAGTTAGTTTAGTTTAGGTTTCCTCCTGTAGTAACACTGGATCAATAAGAGATGATCCTTACTGGACCTCTAGCAAGAACAGTTTAGAACTGATAAAGCTATCCAGTATAAATAAAGTTAGTTTAGTTTAGGTTTCTTCCTGTAGTAACACTGGATCAATAAGAGATGATCCTTACTGGATCTCCAGAAAGAACAGTTTAGAACTGATAGAGCTATCCAGTATAAACAACGTAAACTTCGTTTAGATAAGGATAGAAAGAATAAGCATAGTCACCTTTATGTTACATCCAAGTAGTGGATCTGTCTCTACCAGATCGTTGGCCCATGCTTGCATTTCAAAATCTTCCGTTAAATAAATAACGTCATTAACTGTGGACATAATGAATAAGACTTTACCACTTTTGCAAAAGCAAAAAAAACGTACTGTTACAATAAAGACACTTTCTGAATTTTCCTGAGTGCAAACGAAACTGAGGGAGCAAATGACCAAACTATAAACAAAATGACATCGTCAACCTCGAGTTTAAACAGTTACATGTTTCGTGTCCAGTGAAGCAAATTCGGGAATGTCTATAAAACTCACAGTAATTTTTTTCGACGATTCTACGGACGTGATTCTCAATAGCAGTGTGCATGAGTAAGCCATCGTCTCTGTACGGGTAATCTGGTAGAATCTTTAGATCTAACACCTGAAAATAATACATTTGAAACGAAACGTTAAGGAAACAGAAGTAACCAGACACATGTACAGTATATATTGATTAGATAGCAACTGAGCTGTGGAACCAAATTATAATGTATCACTACTTTCATTCTTCAACAAGAAAACGTCAAGATTTAAGATGGCAAAAGTACGTCGTTTTCGAAAATAATCGCGCTATAAGGTAGACCAGATTGAGGAAAAATAACTCTGCTTGAAAACCCTGCAGTTACTGTTACTTGCGGGGGTCAAACTGGAAGCATTCTTCTCCCATGAGACTGAAGAGAAATTACAGATTTACAAGCACATAACTGCATGCATATTGCAGAAATTTAGTCTTAGTCCCAGAGATGAAGGACACGTGTAGCAACCACTGTGTCACCCTCACACCACGCAAAACATTTCCACGAACTTACGCCTCTATCTTTCAAGTCTTGTGGTAGACAGCCTTGGTGATCTAGTCGCCATGACGGCCACATTTCTTGAAATACACTGATAATTCCAGAAACTCCCAGATTTGTTGCGTTGTCTAACCAACCATCATAGGCAATCAATTGATTCGTTTCAAAACTGAAAGAGAAAATGGCACTTTTGAGTTGACAGCAAAATACGAGATTCTTGTGGTATGGTATGGTATGGTATGGTGATATGGTATGATATGATATGATATGGTATGGTATGGTATGGTATGGTATGGTATGGTGTGGTATGGTGTGGTATGGTATGGTATGGTACGGTATGGTATGGGATATGGTATGGTATATGATATGGTATGGTATGGTATGGTATGGTATGGTATGGTATGGTGTGGTGTGGTATGGTATAGTATAGTATGGTATGGTATGGTATGATATGGTATGGTATGGTGTGGTATGGTATGGTGTGGTATGGTATATGGTATGGTATATGATATGGTATGGTATATGGTATATGATATGGTATGATATGGTATGGTATGGTATATGGTATATGGTATGGTATGATATGGTATGGTATGGTATATGGTATATGGTATGGTATGATATGGTATGGTATGGTATATGGTATATGATATGGTATGATATGGTATGGTATGGTATGGTATATGGTATATGGTATATGGTATGATATGGTATGGTATATGGTATATGGTATATGGTATATGGTATATGGTATGGTATGATATGGTATGGTATGGAATGGTATGGTATGGTATATAGTATGGTATGATATGGTATGATATATGGTATGGTATGGTATGGTATGGTATGGTATGGTATACAAATAATGAATGTTTATGAGTGCAATGGTAAGAATATTTTCATGAGGTGAAAGATGGAATGTTCCATTCAACGAGGCGACAGCCGAGTTGAATGGAACATACCATCTTTCACCGAATGAAAATATTCTTACCATTGCACGAATAATAACATTCATTATTTGTTTTATATAATACCAAAATAGACTAATATTAAAAGGTTTACTGTAAGCTTTCGCCATTTTGACGAGTCGTATTTGCATTAAATCCCATTTACTGAGTTTCGAATATCGGGTTAAAATAAACTGCGATCACCGTACGAGAAGCATTTTGACGGATGCGATTTATCGAAAACACAAAGAGTGCAATGGAATAAAACGTATAGTACAATTGCACTCGCAAGGGTGCAATGGAACAGCATTCTATTGCACTCTTGGGAAATGGAATTTTCTATTCAATATCACGTGACCATAAACAGCCAATTAAACGATCAGAATTCAATAAGGTATTATATAATATGGTATGGTACACTATAGTGTTGTGGGTTACGTTAGGCGACTCTGAGCTTACCTATTTATAGGAATAACATATTGTATATAGGAAGCCAGCAGTCGGTAAATTGGGTGTGATGGCGACAGTTGTCGATGTGTTGCTATGGCAACGCTTTCCAAAAGAAGATGACTGAAACCAAGATGTGCGCATGCGCGATGATATCCAGCATCGGCATTGTTAAACCACATTTTCGCAATCGTCCAGGTGTATATAGGATCACTTGGGACAAATACCTACAAGGATGGATAAAACATTAACGGATCAGTATATGGTAAAATAAAGTGAAAATCTATCGCATTCAATATAAAATCTTACAGGATTGTTTTCCTTGCGACGTGCGAACAACTGGATTGCTACAGGAACAAGGTCTCGCTTCTTGTTCAAAAAGAAAAGAGCGTACGGACTGATTACCTAAAAGACAAAATGACTATAATCAAATAAAGAAACTTTATTTACACTGGATAGTTCTATCAGTTGTCAGCTGTTCTCTCTAGAGTTCTAGTAAGAGCCATCTCTTATTGATCCAGTGTTACTACAGGAGAAAACCTAAACTAAACTAACTTCGTTTATACTGGATAGCTCTATCAGTTCTAAACTGTTCTTCTTAGAGGTCCAGTAAGGATCATCTCTAATTGATCCAGTGTTACTACAGGAGGAAACCTAAACTAAACTAACTTTATTTATACTGGATAGCTCTATCAGTTCTAAACTGTTCTTCCTAGAAGTCCAGTAAAGTTCATCTCCTATTGATCCAGTGTTACTACAGGAGGAAACCTAAACTAAACTAACTTTGTTTATACTGGATAGCTCTATCAGTTCTAAACTGTTCTTCCTAGAGGTCCAGTAAGAGCCATCCGTTAATGATCCAGTGTTGCTACAGGAGGAATCTTTAGCTAAACTAATGGTGAAAACTTACTGCTCGTTCGCTGTCCACGTCGGCTTTCTCAAAGATGCTATAGTCAACTATAAACAGTCTCAGAGATTTTAACGCGGCATCCAAACTTAATCCTTCCAGGAAGGGATAAACATGGCTTGGTGTGACACGAAACCTGGAAACAGAGAAACGAATAAAGATTAGTGAGTAGAACTGACCGCCTGACCAAATGACCAACCAAAACCTACCCCGGAGGGATTTCTGTACAAAGTTTGATAACAGTCGGGTTGCACCCTGCCAAACGTTGTCGACCAAAATAGATGTCATCCATCCAGAAATTCTTGGACTAAATTTGACAACAAAAGTGCAATTAAAAAGATGACTAGGCTAAACTAACTTTATTTTGTACTGGATAGCTCTATCAGTTTCAAATTATTCTTCCTAGAGGTCCAGTAAGGATCATCTCTTATTGATCCAGTGTTACTACAGGATGAAACCTAAACTAAACTAACTTTATTTATACTGAATAGCTCTATCACTTCTAAACTGTTCTTCCTAGAGGTCCAGTAAGGTTCATCTCTTATTGATCCAGTGTTACTACAGGAGGAAACCTAAACTAAACTAACTTTATTTATACTGGATAGCTCTATCACTTCTAAACTGTTCTTCCTAGAGGTCCAGTAAGGATCATCTCTTATTGATCCAGTGTTACTACAGGATGAAACCTAAACTAAACTAACTTTATTTATACTGGATAGCTCTATCAGTTTCAAACTATTCTTCCTAGAGGTCCAGTAAGGGTCATCTTTTATTGATCCAGTGTTACTACAGGAGGAAACCTAAACTAAACTAACTTTATTTGTACTGGATAGCTCTATCAGTTTCAAACTATTCTTCCTAGAGGTCCAGTAAGGATCATCTCTTATTGATCCAGTGTTACTACAGGAGGAAACCTAAACTAAACTAACTTTATTTATACTGGATAGCTCTATCAGTTTCAAACTATTCTTCCTAGGGGTCCAGTAAGGATCATCTCTTATTGATCCAGTGTTACTACAGGAGGAAACCTAAACTGAACTAACTTTATTTATACTGGATAGCTCTATCAGTTCTAAACTATTCTTCCTAGAGGTGCAGTAAGGATCATCTCTTATTAGAGGAAACCGGAGTACCCAGAGAAAACCTGCGGTGTTTGGTAGAGTGAAACTGCTTCTCACATGTGACTGAGGTGAAATTATAATTAGACAACTGGATATTGTAGAAGTGGAAGCTCGCTCACAGAGCTTGAAGGCACATACACCAACTAACACCACTATTATAATCTTTCTCGTTTAGTTGACCAGGATGTAGCAGATGGCAGGAATTTTCAAGATGAAGATGATATGGACTGCCTGAGTGATGACTCCACTAAATATCATAGCTCGCATTCAGGAGGACTAAGTATTGTTCTTTGTTGGTGGTGGTGATAATTGTGGTAACAGTGGTATTGAGATTATTGACTTAATGTTAGTGATGATGGTGAGTGATGGTGATGGTGGGGATGGCTGTGGTAATGATGGATTGGTGGTATTGATGTTGTTGACAATGTTAGTGATGATGGTGATGTTGGGTGGTGATGATGGTGTGTAACAGTGGTATTGAGGTTATTGACTTAATGTTAGTGATGATGGTGAGTGATGGTGGGTGGTGGTGATAGTGATGTCGGTGGCCTTGACAGTGATGATTGTGGTAATAGTGGATTGGTGGTATTGAGGTTGTTGACTTGTTAGTGATGATGGTGGTTATGGTGGGTGGTGGTGATTAGTGATGTCGGTGGTGATGGTTGGCTTGGCAGTGATGATTGTCGTAATGGTGGTAGTGGTGGAAATCTCGGTGGGGCGGGGCGGCCGCCCCCACCTTCGTGGAAAATGACGAATTTTCGGAAATTTTGACCTATAAAAGGGCTAAAAACAGCCTATTCTAGTGCAAATGGGGGGGGGGTTGTCGGAAATTTGAAAGTTTTGTCGGAAACTTAGAAGGCTTCGCCCCCCACCGGAAAAAGTAAATTTCCGTCACTGAATGGTGGTATTGAGGTTGTTGACTTGTTACTGATGATGGTGATGATTGTGGTAATGGTGGATTGGTGGTATTCCTGCACATTGCAGGAAAGGAACTTGGTCAGCGTCTCAATTGAATGATCGATAATATCGACGATATATCAGAGCACAGTTCTGCTTACCATTGGCTCGCCCAGAGTTCTGTAGATTCCATCAAACTCGTAAAAATCATGCCAAGGTATTTTCTCAAAACTGACCAAGTTATATCGAGCAAAAAGTTTGTCCCGACGCAGAGAAATATCCCACTAAAATCAAGAAAATCAAATTAGCCGGTATTTTGCATCCTTAAAAACACAGGCATTTTGAAAATATTTAGCTCTCAAAACCTCGGAAAATACAATGCCTTTTTGCCGGCACATTTCGAAGTTGTGGATTTTGCTTGTGGACAATGTTTATCAGTAAAAACATTCAGTATATTTGCCGTTATTAGAATTAGTAATATACCTTAAAATTCGTACTAAACACTTCATTCTTTGGAAACTTTTTCAACTATAAAATCAGAAAGAAAACACATCATTCTAGTACTTACGAGAGTAGTAACTTGCTTTATAGACCAATATTGTCACAAATCAATTACAAGAATGTAACAATTGAACTGGTGTCCGGCCAACTTACCAGACTCATTTACGGACAACCCTACCAAAACTTAACATAATAACAAATTAGACTCCAACCTACCCTAGGAGGCAAACCAGAGATGCCTTGACAATAGCGATACTTTGCTCGCTTGGAAAACAATTCCGCGTCTCTCTGATACGAATCTTCGTCGAGCTGAGGCAAACATGAATCATACAACCTTAGAACGATCGCTTTATCATTGCGAAGCCAGCGATTGCACGGAAAGACCAGCAATCCTTCAGGGCCGGCTATTTTATGATAACGAATTTCAATCTTCTCCACATACCATTCGACGATGTTCTGTTTCGTTTCCTTTCGAAATAGTTTTACCTTTTTCACAGTGCCGAAATTGAACGGCAATTTTGTGATCCGAAATGCATCCGTGTGTCCCTTCTTGAAAACAGTTAGGGAACAGCCTTGGAGTAAGATTTCTTCAGATTCGTGGCCCAACTGATCGGTCAGTTGAAGATATGCTGTATTATGTAGCCCGGCGCTTGTCGTGTCTCCCGTTTTAATCGAAACGATAACACAAGGTGGTAAAATGAATTCAAAACACTCGGACGGAGTTTTCAACGAGTTCCCCATTACGTTTTGAGATTAATGATAATATAGATATAGCTATTATAGTTTTTAAACAATAGCTGTCTATTCCTTCATGAAATTAAGGCCAAAATCTTGCTATCTTTGGAACCGACAACAGATAACATTTAGAAGTTCTTTGTAAATCGATTTTATCCGACCTTTTCCTTGCCTCTTCGCACAAATTTTGAACACGTCTATAGTCTATATCTTCACAAAATTAAGCTCAGTTAATTTTGGCTACCTTTGCAACCGACAAAATTTGCCAGTCAGATGTTCTTTTAAACAAATTTGATTTAGCGCTGTTTCTTTCCACAAGCGTCCAATCATTTTAAAAGAAGCGTATTCTTCTCGAAAGTGAGTTTAGTTGAACTTTGTAATTGAGCATTATGTCTTTATGATAGCGTCTTGTTTTGCAAGTCAGATATGAGAGCGTTCGTTGATGCAACAGGTGGCTGCTTATGACGGGATTTCAAACACGTTTTATAGACGTACATGTCCAAAAGAGGCATAATTCACTTCATTTGTCATTCATGCAACAGGTCGCTGTATGAATATAACAGAATACTGACGCAAAAGTGACAAAATGCTGGGCATAGCGCTTAGTATATATAACAGTACTGCCATCCGCTCACAACCCAAGTTTTGGAAACCAGGATGTTTTATGTCTTTTCATTATTTTGAAAATCCTACTGTTCTCCATGTCATCCAGCCACAATCCAGCGATGAGACTGTTTCATTGTATTTTCACTGTTTTGAAAACCCACTCCTTGCCATTCAGTCACTCATTGTCTTGATGCAATTTTGCCTCGGGCTCGTTGTATGTAAGAAGAGTGCTTCAGTTTAGAACTGATAGAGCTATCCAGTATAAATAAAGTTAGTTTAGTTTAGGTTTCCTTCTGTAGTAACACTGGATCAATAAGGGATGATCTTCACTGGACATCCAGGGAGAACAGTTTAGAACTGATAGAACTATCCTGTATAAATAAAGTTAGTTTAGTTTAGGTTTCCTCCTGTAGTAACACTGGATCAATAAGAGATGATCCTTACTGGACCTTTAGGAAGAACAGTTTAGAACTGATAGAGCTATCCAGTATAAATAAAGTTAGTTTAGTTTAGGTTTCCTCCTGTAGTAACACTGGATCAATAAGAGATGATCCTTACTGGACCTTTAGGAAGAACAGTTTAGAACTGATAAAGCTATCCAGTATAAATAAAGTTAGTTTAGTTTAGGTTTCCTCCTGTAGTAACACTAGATCAATAAGAGATGATCCTTACTGGACCTCTAGGAAGAACAGTTTAGAACTGATAGAGCTATCCAGTATAAATAAAGTTAGTTTAGTTTAGGTTTCCTCCTGTAGTAACACTGGATCAATAAGGGATGATCTTTACTGGACATCTAGGGAGAACAGTTTAGAACTGAACTCATTGTCATTGAGCTATCCGGTCATAAATAAAGTTGGTTGATAGTTTAGATTTCCTCATGTTAAGTAGTAACACTGGATCAATAAGAGATGATCCTTACTGCAACTGGATCTCTGAGACGAAATCTGTACCTGATAGGGTTATCCATGCAGTATAAATAAAGTCAGTTCAGTTTAACTGCAGCAAACAAATACAATTCAATCAATATGAAACTACGAATAAGTCCAATATTTGAATAATTATCTACATTCTACATAAAAAAAACCTCATTAACATGCATAATCTATATCTATGATACAAAGAAGTGTTTATAAAGACTTAAAGTATTATAACTTCATAAGAAAACTGAACAGTAATCCGAACAATACTCTATACTTTATACTGTACAATGTAGCTGGTTTAAGACTAAGCACTATATATCGTGCAGCAGATGGTGATCAACCTGCAGTTATCAGAGTGAGAAAATAAATGTAAATTATTTTCGTTATATTTAACAAATAAAACATTTTCCGTGTTGATATACAGTTATATCAACACGAGTGGAAATTGGGAAAACGAGAAATTGTGTGGAAACACGACGCCCGAAGGGCGGAGTGTTTTCATACAATTTCGAGTTTTCCCAACTTCCACGAGTGTTGATATAACTATATATCAATACGGAAAAAATGTTTTATATTTGTTTTATAATATAGCAATGTCAAAAGCCCGAAGAATAAGAACAATTTCCGTGTTACAAGCGGCGGAAAATTTCCCGTGTTGACATGGAGTTATATCAACACGGCTCTTAGCCAATCAGCGTTCAGAATTTACAAAATGTTATATTATAACTTAATATAGTACTCTTCTCTGTCTCTTGTATTTCGTGGCAAATAGAATTGAGATAAATATAGTTTAATCTTGGTGCTTCGAAAAGTGTCAACACATTTCTGAAGTTGTGCTGTAACGCTTCCATACAACTCTTGATAAAACTTGGTATAAAACCTATACTACAATATATAAACTGATAAATCATATGTCATAGTTTGTCCACCAGCTACTGTACTCCAGAAGAATCAGCAATCATCCCAGACAGACACACCGCGCAATGGAAGTGGTAGAATATACACATCGGTGTGGAGAACAGCGTAATCGCAAACCAAGCCGTCGGGCCAAAATATGTCCAACCGACATAATCAAAGTAATCTTTACTTCGAAAGGTATATGTACGAATTAACCAAAAGCCAACACTCACTGTTATGCAAAACGATGCAATCTGGCGAATGGCTTTGGCTGCTTTATCTCCATCTTCGGACAAAGCCAAAGGCATTTCGTAGAAGTACGAGGCGAAAACAAATGCAGTTAGGCAGGTGATTGTCACTAATTCTCCAAGCGAAGTCAAAGCCAACATAAACTTGTCACCCTGGTAAGATTTCAACGTTTCGGCAACGCAAACGAAAATTGTGAACAGGTCGAGGATAAAGAATCCGAGGGCAGAAACACACAGCAGAATTAGATCGACTTTTAAGGCTTTGGTGTCCGTAACTCGTTTATAATGCTTCCTAAATAGCCATAGTCCTCTACCACTGCATACAAAGATAAAAAACAACAGCACTGCTTGAACGCCGTAGAAAAATGCAGCGTTTGTACGACTATGCACACCAGCACATCCCATCAAAGGTAGACTGAATAGGCCAGCTATGAATCCAAACCGCCAAACGTCCCATTTCTCAGCGTTTGCAGCGGGCTGATGGTGGTGTTGTGTTGGAGGTGATGTTGCAAATTCCCACACATGTAGCAATAATGCCGAGGCAAGCAGAGAATATTCCATGGCAAACGTGTATTGATACGGCCTCATCCATTTCACAAACTCGTGCAGCTTTCGTGATTCAGAAGAATTCCCAGTGTTATTTAAACTAGTGGCGCACAAGTCTTCATTAATCTTGCCGTAATAATAGCGGCTTAGCCATGTGACGTTTTTCAAATCAGGGTGCTTCGCTGCTCCTGCACAAAAGTACCAAACCCAAAGGGTCAGGTTTATGGCGAGAGTGAACATCGTGAAATAATTCCCGAACCAAAGTTTTTGTTTTCTTCGTCGGGAAAGCGTATAAAAGACATAAATCTGGATATATACGAATAACGTCTCGAAAATGGCCGTAGCAAGGTAGCTTTTATCCAATCCAGATATAGTACGAGAACATTTGGTCCAGTCAATCCCCACGATAGCTTGGAACGTTGTATTACACACCCCGAAAAGTACAAGACCGTTTAGTAAGTGACTTGGTATAAGGGGTTCAAAATCTTCATTCCTCGCTCTGTGATTGCTGTGTTTAAAAACCAGCAACAAGGTCCACAGAATAAAAACAGCGATAAGTCCAATTTTATAATAATGGAACACTACTGGATTGATATCACGAGCTGCGACGTCTGACTTTATGTTAACAGATAGAATCAAAGTTAGCCCGACAATCAATGGCAGCAAGAATACGATGAAAACACTACAAAATCGTTGTGTGCTGCTTGCTTTAGATATCGATTTTGCAGATCCGTCCTGTTTTATCGGGATGTTGACTGTCACTTTATCTAAATTGCTGTTTTCTTCATCCTTTGGAAGTAAAGGTTGTTCCTCTTCACAGCTATACCATATTTCCTGCATGTAGACTGGTTTTTCAATGCGAGCTGCGCGAGGTTTCATCCGTCCCTTTCTCGAAGACGAAGTACTTTCAGCATCGCTACTAGTGCTTGGGGTTGTACTATCAGACTTGCTTTGTCGATTCTTGCGAGATTTCGAAGCATTTTTACACGTTTCAACATCACTGCTGCTGTGACAGACTAGCTCTTTATCTCTCGCCAAAGGCTCTGTGTCGTCTGTACTCTGAGCGATTTCCATCCTACTGTTTCTTTAAAGACTGCAGACAATACGCAGAACTCAGATACGCAGAACAGAACTGCTATGTACTATATCGATATAATCAGTGTGAACGTTTTTGGCTCGATAATAGACAGAGACCGGTTTCAAACCAACTGCTATAAATTGTTCGCTGTATGTAATATAGTGCTTCCTAGAAAATGATATTATGGAATTAGTACCAATATTCAGTTTTACCTTGCAACGGAATAGTCGATATATAGCAAGGAGATAGGACACTCTACTGAACTGATAGGATGGCAATAACTTTATAGGGCTCCACTGAAAATCACTTTTGTGAGTGGACCCCCTGACTAAATATTGTAATTGTTATTATACAGATAAGTATTTCCTGCTTTGACATAAAATGCTATAAATAATCGCCATATGTATTTAGCTTTTCTTAATATACGATGCTTTGGAAATATACATTTTTACCTAAAATGTCGTTTTAAAGCTACCAATTCGAGGACAATCGAGCGCATTAATTGAATAACTATAAACGAAGTGAATCCTTCTAGACCAGTGCACACTTTGTAGCAAATTGAAGTTCGTGGTACTGTTATAGTGTATAGTGTATGTATATACTTAATTCCTAGAAACGAATACTTCAGAATTAGTGTCAATATTATTGCACTTTTTACTCAGAAAATGGTTTCGAATTCGCCATTCCAAGAACACTTAAATTCAAAGGTATATTGCTCGATGCTTTGTTTAGACGTTAATTCTCATGAATTCAGATTGATTCAAGTTATAGATTGTACCTCAGTACTGCGCTATGTCTATGTATCTTGTAGGTCGTCGTAGCAATTGATATATTAAGAATAACTATCAATGTTTTTACCTGCAAAATGCTTTCGGATAGCTAGCCACCAAAACAGACGACCAAATATAAAGGTAACTCCCCAAACGGAAGCCATTCGTTTCATTTGATCATACCTAATTTTAGTGCAGTGCTAACCAATTTATGCAGTGATCAAAGTAAAATGTGCAGTGATAAAATTTGCTGTGATAAGTTGTTAATTATTAGAAAATGCATGCCCCTGGAACTCCTCTAGAGGTTTGCCATGCCTAAAGCCTGCCGCACACGAAAGTAACTTGCTGAGCTAACCGCCTCGCGAGGCAGCTAGCTCAGCTATGAATTTTCACCGCACACGTTGGGGAAACTTCTCAACAACAACATAATTGACTGATAGAACTATCCAGTATAAATAAAGTTAGTTTAGTTTAGGTTTCCTCCTGTAGTAACACTGGATCAATAAGAGCTGATCCTTACTGGACCTCTAGGAAGAACAGTTTAGAACTGATAGAATTATCCAGTATAAATAAAGTTAGTTTAGTTTAGGTTTCCTCCTGTAGTAACACTGGATCAATAAGAGATGATCCTTACTGGACCTCTATAGGGAGAACAGTTTAGAACTGATAAAGCTATCCAGTATAAATAAAGTTAGTTTAGTTTAGGTTTCCTCCTGTAGTAACACTGGATCAATAAGGGATGATCTTTACTGGACATCTAAGGAGAACAGTTTAGAACTGAACTCATTGTCATTGAGCTATCCAGTCATAAATAAAGTTGGTATAATTGATAGTTTAGATTTCCTCCTGTTAAGTAGTAACACTGGATCAATAAGAGATGATCCTTACTGCAACTGGATCTCTGAGACGAAATCTGTACCTGATAGGGTTATCCATGCAGTATAAATAAAGTCAGTTCAGTTTAACTGCAGCAAACAAAT